AATGAAAATTTATAGCAAATGTCACCAATAAGCCGGACTCCCTCACCAGGGCACTTGTGGTCCCAAGCAGGTCACTGAAGACACAGGGAGCCGGAAACGCAGAGGGTCAGACCGCGCTGCCGGAAACCCCGGGGAAGTCCGTGCCAACACCCAGCCGCGGACATGGCGCAAAAGGCCGAGTGCAGGCGCCGGACCCCGCCGCCCCCGGCCTTCGCCTGCAGGCTGCGCGACGTCAGCGGCCGCGGCCTGGGCAGAGCGATGGCTGCTTTGGGGGGCCGCTTGGTTTCTGACCCTTACTTCCTCGGAAGGGACTGAAGTGGTGTCTGGGACCTATGAACAGCTTTCCAAAGTTCAGCCAACGTGGATTTTATGCCTCAGATTTCTGCCATTATTCCTCAGATTTCTGAACAGTTTCCCTTCATGTTCATAGATCCTTCGCTAAATTCCCCACCGGTACAGGTGCACAGAGCCACCGGTCACTCTGCCGTGTTCAGCTGACTCTGGTTGTCCACCTCCTGAAAGGGCTTAGAATGAATAACACGTGGATTTTCTTGGGATGTGAGGCCCCCAGGCCTCTCCCTCCCATTTCAGCAACTCTTGCTTTTGTATGACAAAGAATGCCATTTTTGAAATGCCCATGATGGGCTTAAACAAAAACACTAGCAAGTAAATGACAAAAGCAAGTATTTGTAATCCTGGTACATTTTATATGAGGGAGGTACAGCCAGCGAGGCAGAGTCTCACAGGAACTAGAGTTGATCCACGTACTTTTACCGTCCTGAGTTCACCTCCAAGGAAACTATTTCATGTGTGTTCTTCTTTTTCATGTCACAGTATGGATAGGGAAGATTACACAAATATATATACTTATGTTACATATATGGTTTAATGGACTTTTAAGAGTAATTGTGCCAATTTTAGACTGATTTTGAAGCCCGCATTGAGATTCTGCCAAATACCAAAACACAAACAGTGATCATCTCTGGGTGATATGAATATGGATGATTTTAATTTGTTTTATTTATACTTTCTAAATTTCTATGATTTGTGTTTATTAGAAAAATATATACTCTATTAAATCATAGAATGCCATATTTGCATTCTAGTAAATCTTGCCAGCTTCTGTCACACATTAAAAAATAAACCACCCTTCTGAATAAAACCACCATGTACAGTCATGAACAAGTGAGCGATGCCAGACGACGCCACCACTACTCCACATGATAACGGCCATCATGGCCAATGTGAAAAGACAGGAAAAAAACAGAACAATCGTGTAAGCAGGGGTCTAACTATCCTTGTTTTCAAAGGAAGTGACTATGTACATGAGAAATGCAAGAGAATATACAAACTATTAGAATAAGAGACTAAAACAAGATTAGTGAATACAAGATTAATGTACCAAAGCCAACAATATTCTCACATACCAATAACAGCCATCAGAAAAATCAATAGAAAAGAATCACTCATGGTAACAGTGAAATTTGTTATCAAGGAGCAATCTAATGAGAGATGCGCAGAAGCTTTGAGAAGATAATGACAAAACGCTACTAAAGAGTATTTTAAAAAGAGGAATAAATGTTACGAACGGGAAGATTCAACATCGGAAATAAGCCAACTCCTCATGAATTAATCTCTAAATACAATGCAATCAAATCAATTCAAGGCCCAATAGAGATTTTTTTGTCAAATAAGAAAAACCGACTTTAAAATGTATGTGGATGAACAAAGGGAAAAAACAGTCAAGACAATTCTAAAAAATATTACACAGGATGGTTTTTTCCATGGCCTATCAAAACTTGCATCAGCGCTACACTAACTCACTCCACACACGTCAGCCTGGAGACCGGCAGGCTAAGGCGCCGGGCGGAAGGCACGCAGCCGCGCCGGGGCCACAGCCGGCGCTCCAGGCCGGGGGAGGGGGCAGGGTGCTCCGGGCACAGGGGCACAGCTTGTCATCTAAGAGATAAGGTCCCTTTGGTGCAATGCAAAAATAAGGTTCAGGTAAATTATAAGATGATGTAAAAAGAAGAAATGTAAAACTTTTATGATGAAATACGGAAAAATGTCTATGTCCACAGGATGTATCAGTATTATAGAAATAAGGTCAACAAAGCTGAGACTGCATATAAAAGAATCTGTATTTTTTCTACCTACACATTTCTAATGTTAGAACAGCTATAATTATGCGTATTCTCTGTAATTTTTTATCACACGTAGAGCGTCTACTGAGCACCAGCGGTTACCATTAATATTGTGGCGCATACACAGAACGACATATAAAACACTCTGGATTACATATTCAGTTCAGCTCCCTATATCACAAGGGATGCAATTACGTTAGTTTGCTGATTTTATTAGAAATATAGTTCATCTATTTTTATTTCCCAATTACAAATATTAAATATAGAAATAGACTTACAGTAAGCGTAACACCTGAAAACTTAGAGAAAACTAGATATGGCCATTTTAACATGCAATTTTAAATGTCAGTAACAAATACAACTGGACTTATCACCCTAAATTTGAATTCTCAGGCTGTAAAGAATGAGACGCCTTAGCCCAAACCTGTGCCATCTAACGTGGTGGCCACTGAGTGCCTGACAGGTGGTCCCCCAGTCCAGGCCGCAGTGCAAAGCCGTGGGCTCTGAAGGGTTGGTGCCAACAGGCAGAACACCCACAAGAGTAACACGGCTGGCGTGAGGCATGGCACACACACTTCGGCTGCTGTCAGGAGGTGGCTGTGTGAGGGGCAGGCGCACCTATTTCAGCCCTGCGGTCTGGGGCGGAGCGTGGGCTTCCCATCCAAGCTCAGAGCTGCCTATAATCAGGGTGAGTATCTTAGGATAATACACAACCTTTACAGTATATCACACACTTACATATAATAAAAAGGAAGAAGTTCGCTTTAACTTCATACCAAATATTTATTCAAATGTCCTTCTCCCCTTTTTTCCTGAGGTTCCTACTATCTGTTTTGGTTCCATATACATTTTAAGATTATTCCAGTTCTGTGAAAAATGCCTCTGGTATTTTGATATGGATTGCAACGAATCTGAGGAGTACTCTGGCACATTTTACCAGTGTTAATTCTTCCTATCCATGACAATGGTACACCCTTCCATGTGTATTTGTGTTCCTCAATTTCTTTTGTCGATGTCTTATTGTTTAAAGGGTATAGGTCTCTTGCCTCCTTGGTTAAATTTGTTCCTAAATATTTAAATTAAATGGCACTGTTATCTTAATTTCTCTTTCTGGTAATTCATTATTAGTGTAAAGAAACACAACAGATTTTTATATATTGATTTTGTATCCTGCAACTTGACTGGATTCATTACCTCTAATAGTTTTTTGGTGGAATCTATAGAGTTTTCTATATATAATATTATATCATCTGTAAATAGTGACCGTTTTACTTGTTCCTTTCCAACTTGATGCCTTTTGTTTCTTTTTCTTGTGATCACTATGCTGAAGACTTTAATACTACGCTGAATAAGAGCGGTGAGAGTGAGCCTGCTTGTTTTGTTCTTGATCTTAGAGAAAAAGCTTCCAGCCTCTCACCGCTGAGTGTGACGTTAGCTGTGGGTGTGCCACGCATGGACTTCACTATGACGAGGGATGTTCCTTCTACACCCAGTTTGTTGAAAGGTTTTATCGTAAGTGGATGTTGAATTTTTAAAGTGGTTTTTCTACATCAATGGAGATAATCCTATGGTTTTCATCCTTCACTCCATTGACAGGGTATCACATTCGATTTGTGGATAGTAAACCATCTTTGCATCCCTGGAGTAAATTCCATGGGATCACGGTGTATGATTTTTAATGTATTGTTGAATTTGTTTTGTTCATATTTTGTTGAGGGTTTTTATATCTATGTTCATATGAGATATGGGCCTGTGAGTTTCTTTCTCTGGCTTTGGCTGAGGGTAGTGTTGGCCTTGTAGAATGAGTTAGAAAGCTTTTCCTCCCTGTCAATTTTTAGCCTAGGTTGAGAAGAATAGGTATTAATTCTTCTTTGAACGTTTGGTAGCACCCACCTGGGAAGTTGTCTGGTTCTGGTTTTTGGTTTGGGGGAAGTTTTTTTGATTACTGATTCAATTTTATTTCTAGTAATAGGTCTATTCAGATTTTCTGTTTCTTCCTAATTCAGCCTTGGAAGACGACATGTTTTTAAGAAGTTACCCACTTCTTTTCTTTTAGGTAGTCCCCGCTCATTGGTGTATAATTGTTCACAGCATTCCCTCATAATCTTTTGTATTTCTGTGGTGTCGCTCTGCTTGCATTTCTGAATTTATTTACTTGGGTCCACCTTCTCTTTTTCCTCATGAGTTTGGCTAACAATTTATCTGCGTGGTTTACCTTTTCAAAGAACCAGCTCTTACTCTTGTTGATCTTTTCTATTGTCTTTTAGTCTTTATTTCCTTTACTTCCGCTCTAACCTTTATCATTTCCTTTCTTCTATTCACTCTGGGCTATGCTTGCTCTTCTCCCAGTTCCTTCAGCAACGTGACTGCCCCACGCAGCGTTACCTCATGCTTCCCGCCAACCCCCGACACAGGCACCAGCACCTGCCCTCGCTGTGCAGAGGCGATCCGCACTTGGTCACACGGCGGGGAAGCGGCTGGGCTGAGGGGGAAGCCCAGGCTTAGCTTTTAACCGCCATTGTCTTCAGTCTCAAAGTGTAACGGGTCCAGAAGAAAAAAAGAGTAAGGGAGCATTTAGTGATCAAAAATCTTGACCTTTTAAATATCAAATCCTGTTGAAGAAAAGAGTAAGTTTTGGACTTTATATTAGATACTCACTTTTGCTCTATAGAAAATAAATCTGAAAAGAACAGGTGTTCTAGGCAGTTGGAAGAAGTCCAGGGACCGTGTAAGGAAATAGGACCTGAGCTTGTCTCATTTCTCACTTAAGGGCGTGCCACATGTGGGTGCTACTCTGTCACAAATGTCATCGCGACGCAACTGTACCAATGTTTCGCACTCGACTGCACCTCCTACCTCCCAGATGTGTTCTTCAGTATGGCGAGGGCGTCGGGGTAGCCGTCCATGTTGTAGTCCCCTATGTGAAGGGTGACCGGGATTGGCATTTCCACAGGTCGCTGCTGCTGCGCGAAGGGCACGAAGCCCCAGAGTGTGCCCTTATTGCTGAAGTCCTGCAGGACCGGAACCCACTGTGGGAGGGAGAAAAAGAAGAGATGTTACAGGCATTTCAGAGAAAAGGTTCAGCGTTTGCAAAGCAGGTAATCCACTAAAGGCCTCAAGATAAACTTAAGTTCTTCATCTCTACAATGTGTAGGGTGTTATAATTTACTTTGACGAATAGGTAACTTACCACTCAGGGGAAAAAAAGGTTCTCTTTCAAATTTATCGCTAGCTGTCTTTCACGGAACTGGCACAGAGAGCTGAAAGGTGCTTCATGGAACCATGGAATCTTAGGATCCAAATGACGTTAAGAACGACACAGTTGGATTGCCTACTTGAAAAACTGTGTTTACTGGAAATGTAACCTCTACTTTTGTATATTGGAGCAAACTGTGACATCTAATGCTGATGTCCGCTGAGGAGGACCCACTGAGGAAGAGTCAGAACACAACCAGGTTCTGTCTGCACCACCTGGTTCTCCTGCTGTGCCTCTCCCGTAGCGGTGACTCTCGTCCTCACCCAGAGCCCGACAAAGCCCGACAAAGCCCGTCCCAACAAGCTCCGCCTGCCTGGGACAAAGAACTTCGTTCCAAAACAACTGGAAGCTACAATTTCAGTAAATTCTTTATTTCTATCCTAATTACAATGAAGAGAACAGAGAGAATAGGTTGATTTCTAAAAAGCTTTTGGAAATCCCTTTCTCCTCGGAATGCCCAAATCTCCTCTTAACCCAACGCGTACTAAAAATCTAACGTGTGGAAAAGGGGCCACTAAAGTCACAGCTGTGCCCACAGCTGACTAAGAGCAGGGACACGGGCAGGGGCAGGGAGACGCCTGGCAGACGCACCCTCGGACGGACGGCCTCGTCTTGCCAGCAGGTGGGCCGCCCCAGGAACGGCACACAGGGCGTCCCGAGCACTTCGTGGGCGCGGTTTGCCATGGGGCAAGAGAGAACCTAATGACGAAGACCAATTCACAAAACACAAGCTCTTTTAAAAAACCTGTCTGCATCTTTCACTAATTTTTCAATCTTTTGCAAAGCAAAAGGTATTAAACGTCATCAAAACGTTTTAATGTTTCACTAGACTGAAGAAAAACATAGTTTTGTTTTGGGAGATGGGAAATTTCACAAAATGCCAGGTTATCACAAATTCCTGAAGAGGCTGAAGGTTTTTAATGAGGATAAAGTGTTCCTGTCCGGGTAAATGCGTTGGGTTAGGGTCTGAAAAGTAAGAAGTTTTGCATTAACGTGACATCCTTAAGAGTCGCCAGAGGACGGTGACATCTGCTTTCCCAAGAGGGACGACTGTGATTTGACACGGAGCTCCCAGCAGTCTGTCCCGTGAGACAGGCTGGCGTTACGGTTTGCTGTTTACGCCTGTGAGCTGGTGACGAGGGTTATTCAGCCTGATGTTTTCAGTGATTCGGAGTTTCACACAGCTCAAGATACTAAACCTTAGGAGTGTAATAGCCACATGATTTTTAGAATGCTGACTGTATGAAAACTTGTTTTCTTTTTTAAAAATTTTATTGAATTTACTGGGGCGACGCTGGTTAATAAGATTATACAGGTTTCCGGGGTACAATTCTCTAACACATCATCTGCATATTGTGCTGTGTGTTCACCACCCCAAGTCAGGCCCCTTCCCTCACCGTTTGTCCCCTTTACCCGCGCCTACTCCCCCCGTCCCCTCTGGTGATCACCACGCTGTTGACCATCAAGACTCGTTTTGTTGTCTTTAGTGTCTTTAAGTGTATAAAATGTGATCTTTTTACTTGGAAGGGCTGTAAAACCCACTACATTATTCTATCCTTTCTAACCCCAAATAGAAATGAGAACAGGTTAATTGCGCCTTTCAGGTGCTACCAACGTGGAGAAATTCTCGGAGTCATTGCCTGCCACTCCCGCGTTAGTCCTAGGCTGTGACTATCCAATCCCAGACTGTTTACCTACCAGCTCCAGGGGAAGTCGGCAGGAGAGAGTGAAGCGGATTTTGCTCTCACAAATAAAATTGAGATTAGCCTTGAAAATACACAGACACAATGTTCTGCCTAACCCTTTGTTAGAGTGTTTTACCTTTTTTCCCAGCATATAAAATACTAACAGAGCGTTTCATTACAGGATCGAGAATAGGTTTCCTTCACTAGAATTTATTCTAACAGCACTTTCCCCTCAACAAACCAATAAAAAAAAATAGACTGGCATGAATTTCATTAAGTGAGGAAGTCAGTAATTTCTTTTTCCTTTCTCTCTGTTCTGACCTTCAGGTAGCTTTTCCAACCCCCGAGGACCTTTTCAAGAATGCAACCCCACTCACACCCGAGCCCAGCTGCTGTACCTGCGCTGTTCCAGATCTTGCTAAGTAGATGGCACTTTTCTGGCAGTTTTTATCCTCACAGCCCGGGAGCAAGTGGTCCGTGTGTCCATCTCCATCTGCCAAAGGAAACTCAGGTCTATCAGCAGCCACAAAACCAGCGTTCTCAAACAGCAGACCACGTTCTCTACTGGTCCCCAGTCGACGCCAATTTGAACAAATCGAAAAATCTGATGCATAACTTTGTAATTAAATGGGATTCAATTAAAAACATTACTCTGGCCCTGCTTCCTATTACCTGGGCTATTTCTGGTTTTAAAGTACTCACTTTTCTGTAGTTAAATATTTATCCAGTGTTAGAAAAAAGACCGCACTTTGGGCTCTGATGTTAAAATCATCAATTTTTTAAAATGTGGCTTTTAGCTTATTTACATAATTATCACTGCTGCCACAGGAGAAAAATAAGCATGTCAAGAGTAACCCATGATTATACAGCATATTTTCAATGTGTGTTTACACATAATTTATCTTTATACATGTTTTTAAGTGTCTTTTGTAAAGCATGGACTTCAGCCCCCTGGCTTCTAAAAGGCAGCAATAAATTTTTATCAATAAAAAAGCTAGTGAAGGGGATCCAGATGTCATTTCTAGCTGCAGGGCTTTTGAAAAGTGGCCTGGGGCCTGCAAAGACCGCCGAGATGAGGCTCCTGGGGACCTGGAGGCAGCGCCCCTCCCCCACCACCGTGCCCCTCCTGTCCGCGGTCCCAAGCCTGACCTGGGCGGGGGAGGTTGGACAGATTTTTATGTACTTGGGCTAAATCCCGAAGGGACCTTCACCATGGAGCCGTCACCTGGCTTTTAAATTTGGGGCCTGATGTGTGTCGCGTTAGCCTGCGACGTGTTCCCATGGCTGCGTGTTGCACTTGACACGCGCCCAGGCAGCGCGCCTGATGGGAGAGGGTGCAGGGCTGACAGCGGAGAGATGTCCATCCTGCGAGGGTTATATATTCAGGGAGACGGAACCACCACAAGGTCATCGAGTCTACACTAATGTATTCGAAAGGAAAGAGAGTTTAGGGCTGAGGGGGAGGAGTGCCTGGCCGATGGGGGGGGGGGCGGTGGACCTCAGCACGGTGCCTTTACTTAAATGAAAAATGAGTTTTTTCATTAACTTCATGGTTTAATTACCGATGAGCCCCATGATTAGCACCACTGGTGACGATAAACCCTTCCTCGGAGGAGGGGAACAAGAAATAAAACAGCTGACCCACCACGGGAAGCGCAGCAAACACCCGTGGGCGGGCCGTGTGAGCGCCCCGCCTCCCGTGGAGGAAGCCAGGGGCGCCGGAGGGCGCCGGCTGGGGGTGCTTGCCGGGGGGAAGGGTTTGCGGGGCACCCATGCACTTTGTGGTTACAGAGATAACTCAAAAAGAGCCGGCCAAGTAACCACTAAATGCAAAATGTGATCCACAGGCTGACTCTGGTAACAGCATAGGCGCCGGTAAAAACCAGCCGTTTTATTACAGGTTAATGAGGGGCCAATGAGAAGAACATGATGAAGCCTCTGCTTCGCTTTTCACCCCGATGGCGACCACGCAGGGTCAGATTATGGTTTACATTCCCCCCCCAGTCCTTCCTTCCAAGTAGTGTCCTACCCCCCCCAAGGAGTTTGGCCGTGGCTTGGCTGGTATTTAATGCCGGCAAACAACCATCTCAATGAGCTGATGCACGTTCACTGCGAGCACAACGGGCAGGCAAGGCCCCGGGGGCGCGGAGCCGGGTGACTCTGGACAGGCAGGGGGCGGGGCGGAAGGGCTTTCTGAGCATCCAACTTCATACCCAAAGGAATTTTTCTCTTTCTTAAAGAAAAACTTTCAAATCTTATATGTGTTACCTCTCTGTATGTGATTTCTAAAAAATTTTATTGAGAAAAAAACTTGAACCTGAAATTGAAACCCTAAAAATACTCCAAGGAACGCCTGTAAACTCTCCACCAGCTTTGCCCAGCGGGCACCTTTTACTCCACTTGGTTCAGCACTTGCGTGCTCCCCGAAATCAGTCTTGCTCTGAACCACGTACCTAATTGTGTAATTATGGTCCTTTCCCCTTAAATACTTGAGTGTGTATTTCCTGGTAATAGGGATATTCTCATACATAACCATAGCACAGTCACCAATTCACAGAGACATGGTAATTTTATCAAATGTATTATGTATGCATATTTCAGTTTTGTCCATTGACCTAATGATGCCCTTTAGAGCATTTCTGCTCCTGGGACACAGTGCCCAGTCTGGCGGTGGAACTGCATTTGGTTGTTTTTTAGCGTCAGTCTCCTTTAACCTAGAATGTTTCCATAGCCTGTCTTTGTTTTTTACAATCTGCACATCTTTTTTTTTAACCTCGGATTACAGGAATCTTCTACTTTTCCGTAAACTCTTATGCCTGGGGAAGAGAGCAGCTTCAGAAGAGTAAGCTCCATGTGAATCAGAGGCAGGAGGGTAGGCACGAGGGTGTGCTGAGCAAACCCTCGGAGCAGCAGTGTGACTGCCAGCTGCGTTGAAGGAGGGAGCAGTCTGGGGGCCAGGCCACGCTCTTGACAAAAGCCCCAGGAACTAGATCTTCAAGCTGCCTTCTCCTCAGACCTCAGTCCCACCTTGCCAAGCGTCCCTGAAGGCTAGAAGTCCCTCTGAAAGCCTCGGCAGAGCTGACAGAAGGAACGGCCTTCTGATGAACTGATTTGCTAACCCGCAGCGGGAGGGCGGCCTTTGGAACGGCTCATCGCTCCAGACTACGGCGCGCACCAAACAACTGTTAACGTCCATCCGATGTCACCCTGGAGCCAGATTTCAAATAAAATTTGTCCCTAAAACAGATTCATCATTTTACTGAAATATATTTAACAATTCAAACTAATTTTCTGAAAATTTTTGATTTTAAAAACAAGAGGACATGAAAATAAAGTTATTGTTCTCATAAGAGTGGATTAATAATGAATTCCTGTATGATAGTTTTTCTGTTTTTAATCAAGCAGGAGACAAAGAAGATACACATAAGAAAGAGTCATATATATATTATTCTCTTGAACATTCCTAACATTTTCAGTCTCATGAAGTTAATTGATCTGTGGTTTGAAGCAAATTACAACTCATTGTTCTGGCACCAGGTGACCGATCCAACTTTGTAAATCACAATTTCTCTCTCATTAATGATGTTGTTGGTCTTTTTCTTGCCAATTTGTAGGCGTCTTTTTTCTACATTCAGGATTCTTTCGGCTGTGATTTATTATTTTCCTTTATAGCTTCTAAATTTTGCTTGTAACTATGAAGGCCCTTCCAGTTCACAGGGTCCAGGGACATCATTTCTACGTTTACGTCTCCGATTCCCCTGGAGTCCCTGCAGCGTAAGGCATGAGCTAGGAGCCCGAAGCACAGATGGGCACATCGGTCGTGCCACACCGCTTACTGAACGATTCACAGGCCTCAGGACAGAGCCTGAATCCCCCGTGTAGTAACTGACCTTTATCTGTAAAACACGGTCCAGAGGAACCTCGCCGTGGCTGCCGCCAGGGGCGGCGCGGCTAGGTCAGGAGGTCCCCTCGGTCACGGCGGCGCGCTGCCTGCGTGCTGGACCACACGGCCGGCGCCCAGAGGACAGAGCGTGTGCTCTGCGAGGCCCTCCCTGCCGGGACCCCCCCGCGGCGCGGCCCGCAGGACACTCAGGCGCGAGCTCCGGGGGAAGGAGAGCGACAGCGCAGGGCCTGGCCAGTGCTGCTCGTCTGGGGGAGGGAGCGGAGGTGCAGGCAGGGTGGCTAAATACTTTGGTCTGTACCTTGGAACTGGGTTCAATAATAAACACAAATGAAGTGACTGCTGAGTTTCAGGGGAGACCAAGTGGTGCCGGCCCAGCCCGGGGGCGGGTCAGACGGCTCCCCCCAGCACCGGAAGGCGCGCCGGGGTGGCTGTACTGGGCACGAGAGACAAACACTGCAGGTCGCGCTGCTGATTCAGGGCGGGGAGTTCTGCATGGGCTTCCAGGCTTTCTTTACATTTCAGCATGCGGGGCCCGAAGCTAAGAGATTTCTACACAGGGTTTCTAGGATTGCATTTCTTGCTAAAATAGATGCCGAGTAAGGGGAGAAATACTCCTTTCCCATCATATTGGTCAAAAGACAGGGGAGACATGACAGGTAATGTGCTCACACACAAAGAAACACTTTTTAGAGGTTCATTATTCATATAAAGCTGGAAGTACACATACGAAAATAAAAATGTACCTTTTACTGCCACAGTAATATATAAAGTATATCACTTCCTATTTTTCAGAAGTGCACATCATTGACACAAGAGAAATTACTGGCACAGAAATAAACAGAACATGATGCAAAAATTATTGCAATATAATAGTCAAATTAGATTTCTTAGGATAATATGCAGAATTTCAAACTAAGCTTTTCATTTAGCAAAGCACAATAACGCTGTGTTACCACAATATAAAATGGTTAAGTAGCTTGCGTAAGTTCATACAGTAAGTAGGGGCAGCTGGGATTCAAACCAAGAGCCCTCCAGCCTCGGGACTGCGGGCGAGCCGCCCGCGCCCCGTGCGTCCAGCGCCGTTTGCCAGCTCACAGGACGAGCCGGGGCCCGTGACCCTGCCATGACCTGCTGCTGCTGGGCCTCTTTCCCTGGCTCTTCAAACAGGACAACAAATGTCTTCTTCCTCATGGTCTGGGCAGTTTCTAGGCAACAATAAACTTGCAGAACACACCGGCCCAGAGTTAGATTTAGATTTTTCAAAGCCTTAGGGTTGCAGGTTCAGGTTTTTGATGCGTAGCCCCCACGTCTTCCCTGGGCTGCTGCCCCCTGACACGGCAGAGGCCCAGCTGGACGTTGGGGGAGCGCCCGCCCGCCCAGGGCTGCTGAGCAAAGACAGCGGGGGCGGGGCCCTGCCCTGTGCTTTTATTTTTCAGTTCTTGCTGTTGAAGGAGGTCTCTGTCAAACAGCGGGGCCCGGGCTGAGGAAGCAGGGACCCAGGGACGGTGCGTGACAAGGAGCACGGGCTCCGCAGCCTTGGCCCCAGGGAAGGCGGGCTCTGGTTTCCCGTGTGGCCGCCGCTTTACCGC